TGCCTACTGTAATTGAGGGTTAGGTTTTAAAATTAGTGAGCACATATTCCATTTTTTGCCGAAGATCAAGATGGTGTGATAAGTATCATAAAACTGCACAGTGCACAAAGATCTGTAATCGGTTCTTTTTCTTTATTTGTGGTAGTGTTTTGGGGTATGTATTTATTTGTTATTTGAGAAAATTAGAATTCTGTTTTTCCTAGTGTTAGGGGGTTCAGGAAACCCACTTACCTGGTAATTGTGCATTTACAGCAATTTATCGGTGTTTATAAACGTCTTTTTTGCATTATTATTCATAATTATCTAGAAATCAAATATAACGTTTTTTTCTTCGTTTGAACTTTCGTATGATGTGTGTATTATGTCATTCTAATAAGTCTGTGTTGAAAATTAACCGGGTCGAAGTTGTGCTAAAATTGGATACGGGGTTTCCCTTTCGATGCATGGCACTGTAATTTTATCTCCGCGACGTTGATACGTCATTTTGATTGGCTTTCCGGGAGGCGATTTTTAAGGAATTAACGACATTGACATATCACAGGAAAGCTTACATTTTGAAGATTAACATTGTTAATTTGTTGCATCTTGATGCAATGTGCAGAAGTTTTGTTTTTGTTTCAAAGGAAAGAGGTCAATTTTATACGGTAAGTAATCAAAATATTTTTATGCAACATACACTACTGTATTAGAAAGCTGAAAAAATTTCCTATCAAAAATTGGGGTTTCCCTAATCTTTCAGAAAATAATTTACCCGGATTTCATTCAAAAGACGTCAACCCCACGCAACTTTTTGAACAGTTTCTAAGTACCTTTAAATTCATGCAATTTTTGTATCGTAAAACCACAAGTGAAATAGAAAATGTGAGATTAAATAATTTTAGACTTGTTAGAATAAAGTCTATGAATTGAAAACTATGGTCATTTCCTACTACATAACATATACAGGGGTCTATATATGCTAGTTAACATCCCCATATAAATGTACAAATTTGATTCTGCAGCCTGGATTTCCTCTGAATTCTGAAATACTGTCTGTATAATAAATGAATAACCCGAATTAAAATGTGAAAAAAGAAAATATATATTTATTGTTTTACTTATAACTATAAAATATTTATAATTTTGTTTGTGCACATGATACTTTGTGGTTAATTTTTTTTACAGTTAAACTTCAGGAAAATGCTGTAGAATCATTCCATATCATGATTATGGTCCCCCCCCCGGGCCTGTAGTAGCAGAACTCGAGATAGTTAAATAATTAACTGTGTCCAAAGGCCCTCACCACAGTTAGAATACGTCCCATATACTTGAAAGTAGCAAATCGGAGCGGATCCGCTCCAAACGATTTTGAAGAATATAAAATGATTTGCACTGGGAATAACTACCAAAATAATCAAAACAAACCTTCTTGAGATTGCTTATGCCTTTTATCCCAAAAAATAATCCATAAAAATTTAAAAAAATTAATTTTTTAACGTTTTTCTCGCGATTCAAATTACCGGCCATGTATACATTCGGAACTCTCTAGATTGTTCCAAGTAAAAGCACTATGGATATGCCCGTGTTTCTTTCTGCTACATTACGAATACACGGAACGAATTTATCTAACGATATTTATTAAAAAAATTATTTAATAAAATATTCCACCAAATATTTCTGTATATTTTCTTAAACTTGGTAAGACAAAGAGGAAAACTCACTGTTTCGACCTCCAATTGGCGACCAACGGGAATAACCGGTCCGTAGGACAATATCATTTTAACGATAGAACATTCTATCAATTGAGAAAATTAATACTCAACTTGTCCAGGAAGCATGGATAAAATATACAATTATAATAGTTTTCATATACCAATTTTAGAAAAATTAGCTCCCGTTGGCCGCCATACTGGAGGTCCAAATGCTCATATTACTTCATTGTTAAACCAATATAAAATTTTTATATTTGCAATGTTGAATTAGGAATCTTTATTTTTCTAAGGTATATAAATTTTTGGAAGCCTCCTTTATTAAGAAAAATTATTTAATAAAGATATTCCACCAAATATTTCTGCTATATTTTCTTAAACTTGGTAAGACAAAGAGGAAAAATCACTGTTTCACCCCCAATATGGCGACCAAGGGAGATAACTTTTGCTAAATTTGGGGCATCGAAAACTATCTATTGATTGAAACCGAAAATTTGATATGTATTTAAAGATCTATGTAAATTTAAAAATAAAGTTGTGAATTAATTGTAGTAAATTCTTTTTTCCTTTTTTTTTTTTTTTGCCATTTTCATGATATTGACATAGATTTTTCTTTTTGCTAACTTTTAGTGACCATATTTTATTATGATCCTTATTTTAATAAATCTTTTAAAAGTAATAAATTAAAATAATTCATAAAATTTCATTATTTATTTTTAAATCACCTGATTTTAAAAATATGTTTTCAATAAGTCTGTAGCGGTATTTTTACTATTGGCGGGCCGTGGCCATATTGGATATTTTGCCGCCATCTTTGGGTATTTTTAGCTGACATGGAAACAGAAAATTAGGGCTTGCATAGACCTTTCCAAAATATATAGTTTGCCTTACTTCTAGATAAAATTAGACTCTATCCTTTAAAAAATACCTAATTTAACGGATTTTTCTTCCTTTTATGTGCCATCATTCAATACCGTATGTATAGAAATTTCCTTACATAAAATAGCAGTACTCACAACATTGATTATTTCATAACTTCTGTTCTACTTGGAATTTTTTCACCAATAAAGTTTTTTATATTTCTTAATGTCTCCATGACTGTGCTAGAATATATTTAATTGAAAATATTTCACCCAAAAATTTTTACCTGAACCCCCTACTAGTGTGAAACAGGTCCAGGAAAATCACTATATTTAGCTATAACGTTATAGGTAATCTACCTATATAGCTTTATTTACTTTTAAAATATAGCTATATTTACTATTTTGGAATAAGTTTCTGTTTTATGAAAAGCAGACAAAAAGTGGCATGTAAATTATGGCTGATATATTTTTAAAAGGTTTGATAAAAGCAACCTAGGGCATAGACAGTAAAAACATTGCCTCTTTTAAACAGGTTGGGCACAGCCTACAAAATAGTACTTTATCCCCCCCTTTGGTAGATAATCTACCATATCTGTAACAATTTTACTAACCAAATGGGGGGCAAAATTGGTTGTGTTTTAAATTTCCCTAGAGTGGAGTGGAAATTTTTCATAATTTTAAACCATGTGGAATAAAATATAGATATTTATCGGTTTTTGGGTAAAAAAATAAAATTCTATGTGCAATTTTTTCGCAGAGTCGTTAAAAAATTTGACAAAAAACGTAGCTTATGTAAACAAGTGCAATGTTTCTCCATTTTTTACTTTAAAAGAAAATTCTCTCCTTCTCCAACGATGCTGCACCTGTCAATCATGTCCTTTACTTTCTATTTCAATTATCCGGGCCAGCAATCAATTAGTGCAAACCAATCAAATGGATGATCTTTTTTAAACCTGATGAAAAGTCGGATTTAACTACGGAGGCACATTTGTGTTAATTTCTAACTAGGAAATCAGAAGAAAAATAGAGTTTTGCCTTTATTTCTTTTTATTTTGAGCACAATGGCTTTGTTCTTCATAGAAATAGTAAATGCAAGTTGGAGTATGACATAATTATTGTTTTAAAACGATGTACTTGGAACAAAAACAAGAATAATGGCAAAAGTCATTTTGTACATCTTTTATTGAATGTTATTTTTCGAATTTATTAAATTCACCAGTAATATGCATATTAAACCCCAAAAGATCGCATGGAATTTGCAAGCTTCATCCTAAAAGAAAAATAACAACAAATATTAAGTACAACTCTGGAAAAAATTAACTTTATATAGCAGGAAGGCCCACAATACCGGTAAGGCATGAGGAGCTCGTGTTTAACAGGATTTTAGGCAGATAAATATTGACGAAGATCCAAAAAGAAATTGAAAGTTAACTCATCAAGAGTTAAATCACTGTATAAAATTGGATTTTTATCCAACAAGACACAATAAAGATTTTTTTGATCGTTTGTTCAAGAAGGTCGGCTGTTACAGACAACTATGGGTATTGTTTTTACGAAGTTCGGAGAAATTACACATAGAAATTCGACCGAATTATGTTAATTGTACGAGGAATATGTTCACTAAAATCCCCCATTGCCTGAATAAATGCGCTTTTGTTTTATTTTAATAAAAATTGCAATAGAATAAAAAAGTCCCCCATTTGGTTAGTAAAATTCGTTACCGATATGGTAGATTATCTACCAAACGGGGGATAAAGTACCATTTGGTAGGCTATATGCCCAACCTGTTAAACACTTTTTAACCGAAAAAATGTATCTCTATTGTTTGGATAGCTGAAGTGCGGTGAGGCATCGCACGTGTGATTGCCTTGCATTGTTCTCAATTATTACCAATCAATTATCTTGTAGACCAAAACTGCTTTTCTTTTGTTAAAGTGGTTTATTCCTCACAGATTAACTGTTATACATAGCCCCAAAACTTTAGATCTTTGATTGCAATTACACAAAAGGAGAAACATTCTTAGTAAGTGGGTTTTTGGTGAATTGTTTTCAGTCCATTTCAAAGTTGAAAACTAATACTGCTTCATTATGCGACTTTTTGTCTGCTTTTCATAAAACAGAAATTTACTCTGAATAGCTAAATATAGCTATATTATATAGGTAAATAAAGCTATATAGGTAGATTTACCTATATAGCTAAATATAGTGATTTTCCTGGACCTGTGAAACAGAAAACATACCTTTCTGTTGATGAACTTGATTTCTTTCATTCAAAAGATATAGAAGTGCTAATGGTGCTTTTATGATTATTTTATTTAATATCCTAATTTATTTATGGGAAATTCAAATTTTATATTTAAATAATTCTGGAGTTTATTTTACAGTATCAGCAAAATCAGCATGTGAACTTTATCGTGCCACGATGACTGTATAACATCACCGGTGAACAATGGAGTATGATGATAATTTCGATGATTATTATGATGATGCCAACATTTATGATGAAGAGGATTTGGAGAAAATGTTGGCAGGTTATACAGACTTGATTACGGTGATGAAATGGAGTATGCTCGGATTTCTTTTATGGATCTGGCCGAGAATTGTCTGTACCCTACCTTACAGCAAACAATTCATATGTTGGCTCCGCTGTATGTTTTGTGTATCACAACTAGGATTGTTTGTGTGGTGGGATATTCAGGTAATTTAAGATTGTGGAACTTTCATTCAATAAGAATTGTTTTGATACATTAATTCTTTTTAATTAGCAATTACCAATAAAAAGCAAAAAACATGAATGGCTAGAAATTCATGTATGCTTTCATTGGCAGTATATTAATTGAAAGAAAACAATTTATCATACTGAGTTGCATGGGTTTTTTTTCCTTCCAAGTCAATATTTTGATCAACTGATTAATGAGTTGTAATGTTGTTTTTTTTATTTTGGCCCCTAGATTGAATTTATGAAACTTTTATGCCCCCTTTCGAAGAAGAGAGGGCATATTGCTTTGCTGCTGTCTGTCGGTATGTAGGTACTATTCGGTCCATTACATTTCCGTTCATTTTCTTCACAACCGTTGCACATACTGAAATGAAATTTGGTATACAGATTTTTCAGCTGAATATCTAGGTCAAGTTCTGTTTTGGGTACGATCGCGCCCTTTCTGTTAGATTTCCCCTTGGACTTAGAAAAATTCCACTAATTTGCAGTTTATTTTCATTTTCTTTGAGAGGTTTCACATATTGAAATGAAATTTAGTATACAGGTTTATTAGGCGAATATTTAGGTCGAGTTTTGTTTGACAGAGTTATGCCTCTTGGACTTAGAAAAATTCCACTCATTTGCAGTTTCCGTGCATTTTCTTTACAGAGGTTGCACATATTGAAATGAAATTTAGTATACAGATTTTTCAGCTGAATATCTAGGTCAAGTTTTGCTTTGGGTACGATTGCACCTTTTTCGTTAGAGTTATGCCCCTTCTAAGAGGACTTTAAAAAATCCAATTTGGAGGGAGGGGAGTATAAGTGTTTTACAAACATCTCTTGTAAAAATTTGGAATTGTAATATTGTCTTACAGTTGTAGACTTTGTTATTGTTGTTATTTTAAATTTTGAATGATCCAAGAGCCAGTCCCTTCCCCGGTGGTTCTTTAATATCTGCATTAGTCTAGGGGGGCTGTTAGCTCTCTACATGTTTTTTGGTAACAACATTGTCTATCTGCTTGTCTGTGCTGTGTCTGTGTACGTAATCCTGCTCGTTACATCATGGGAGGCAAGGAACTTAGCAGGAGTGACAGTGGCAGCTTATATCTTCCTTTTCATTGTGATATGGTAAGTCACTGATGATGACAAAGCAATCTACTATACCTCTACTGGTTTTCACTTGAAAAAAATTAATTCATAAGATTGAATAATTTCCTGAAAGAAACTGGACGGCTTAATATCCAAAATTTTTTAAAAGGTGTAAGATACTTATCTGAAGCTACATGCTTATACATGTATATATTTATTTTCTGTTTTTAGGTCACCTGAGTAACTCAGGTGACCTATTTGTATGTGTTTCGTCCATCGTCGTCCGTCGTGCATCGTCCATCGTCCATCGTGTGTCGTGTGTTAACATTTGAACATTTTCAGCTTCTTCTCTGAAACCACTAAACCAATTTCAACCAAATTTGGTATACAGCATCTTTAGGTGAAGGGGAACAAATTTTGAATTTCATGGTCCCCGCCCTCCTGGGGCCTGAGGGATGGGGCCAAAACCACAAAAATTATTGCAATTTTTAAAAATCTTCTTCTTTACTCCTGGACATCAAGTAGGCAAATTGTTGGCATGAATGTAATGAGCATTGAGTCCTTTACCAAAATTGTGAAATTCATGGCCCTGGGGTCAGGGGTTCTGGTGCTAGGGCGGGGCTATATAGATAATATAGTGAAAATGCATTATTTCTTTGAAAAACTTCTTCTCTGCTCCTGGGTATTAAATAAACTAACTAAGTACATAGTTATGATGAGCAAGAGTCCCTCTTCCAGATTTATATATTTTATGGCCTCAGGGTCAGGGGTTCTGGTGGTGTAGGGCGGGGCTCTATTGATTATACAGTGAAAATGCATTAATTCTTTGAAAATCCTCTTCTCTGCTTCTGAGTATTAAATAAAGTAATTAAGCACATCGTTATGATGAGCAAGAGTGCCTCTTCTAAAATTGTGAATTTTATGGCCCCAGGGTTTGGGGTTCTGGTGTTAGGGCGGGGCTCTATTGATTATATAGTAAAAATACATTAATTCTTTGAAAATATTTTCCTTTGCTTCAGGGTTTTATGCCAATGATCCAAGTATATATATTTATGATGAAGAACGGTGCATCTAGCAAAGTGGTTGCCCTGCCCCTGGGCCCGAGGGGGGGGGGGGTACATAATCTGAAAATAAATTAATGCTTTGAAATCTGCTCTTTGGTATTAATCAACCATTTTATGATAAAATTTGCAAAATTTTGAAATATGTGTTCAATGGGTCAGTGTGATGCACAACTGGGTATAAAGTGGAAGTGCATTTTCTCTTTGTTACTCTGATCTACCTCTGGGTATTAAGTAAATAGAGAAAGCATGCTAAGTTAATAATAATGATAAGCAATGGTGCCTCTTTCAAATTTGTGAATTGTGAATTTCATGGCCTCTGGTTTAAAACACGAACCAAATTTAATTGTTTGAAAGTTGTTACAGAATACTCAGGCGACCTATAAGGCCCTTGGGCCTCTTGTTAAATTTATTACAGTGAGTTGTTTGTTGTGGATGAAAAAATCTGGCACAGTATTAGAGGTAAGGCTTGGTGATGTTAGTGGATGCTTTCTATTAAAAAGAATAAAACTTAATTTTAAATTTGTGTTATTAACTTTCCCTTTCAGCATGACAACCTATCTGTATATGTTTATTGCATTTGAAATCAACATTTCCATTAGGAAGTTTAAAAGTTAGAGGTTCCCGACTGTCTTGTTAGTCATATATTTGATATTTGGCATTAATGACTTTATTAGAGCCAGTTGTCTTTTTTGCTATGCACTATGCAAGCACTAGTTTATGTTTGCTTCTGGATTGCAAGTTTCTCATAAACTGGCTGAAATGTCAAATGCATTTTCCAGTACATGTACAAAAGTTGTAACGGTTCTATATATATACAAAATCAATGTAAACTTGTATTCCAGGTGATCCCTGTAATTTTATATTTCAGGTGCACAGATAATGCTGTCTATGAAACTTATAGGCCTTGGTTTTGACATCACATCAGGAGTTACACCTCTGCCTGCCTTTACAGATTACATGGCCTACATTTTTTGTGCTGGAAATGTTATCTTTGGGCCTTGGATGTCATTTCAAGACTTTAAAAGTATCTACTCCACAAGTTTATCAAAGTGCCTTGTAAGTTTTGAGAAAAATTAGGTGCTCCATTAAAGTCTTATTGGTCTGAGAGTTCTCTAAACTGTAAACTAAAGTTTTGTTTTGAAAAAAAATGTAAAGTTGTAAATTGGTAAAAAGTGGAAGATGAATTAGATTCTTATAAATAATCATAAGCTTTGTATTGATAATATGCATGCATATACATACATATATATTATATATAAGAGGATTATTTTCGTAGTTTTCATTGGCTGAAAGGACGTCACGTGACATTCCTCCTTTTGCAATAGCGACGCGAAAGCGCATCCGTGAAAAATGATATCGCACGACACGCCGTTCGGTTATACTGAAGTTACGTAGAACGTGACGTCATAATAAAAGAAACGTGAATTTAACCATTGTGACGTAATGACAGCTAAGTCCGTTGTGTTAGGACGGTGTCGGTGCATTCACTTTGAGTGATTATAATAATAATTTAACTATTATGGACTTCAGTGAACGGTCAATATGTGGTTATAAGGACTCATGGCAATTGATATTGACCTCAGATACAGAAAATGATAGCGACCTCGCAGGCTCGGTCGCTATCACTATCAGTGTCGTCGGTCAATAACAAATGTCAAGAGTCCTTATAACCACATATCGACCTACACTGAAGTCCATAATTGTATATATCACTTTGTATTGATAATATGCATGCATATACATACATGTATGTAACACTAACAGTTTTTAACACACACACACACACCAGCACCTGGATCTTTAAAAAAATATTTAAAGTCAGATTTAGATGAAGTAACATACAGATAATTTGTAAAAAAAGCAAAAAAAAAAAACAACAACAAACAGTTATAGGGTGACCAAACTTCTGTGGTAAAAACGTAAGTCTTTTCTCTACAGGAGTCGTTTCTGCTAAAGTCCTCATTCCTCCCTAAATTCATACATATATTTTTTTGTCATTAGGATGTAGATTGGATGACTAAAGTGATGAAATCCAGTTTGTTTTCTGTGTTCTGTCTTTCCTTCTCGACGTGTTTTGGATCCTGGATCATTCTAGACAGTAATTACAAGTAAGTCTCTCCTAAAAACATATTGTTCTTGTATGTTCAGTTCATCATGAGATGTTTTGTTCCATTGACACTCATGTTAAAAAGTTGTGTAGATTTTGGCAATTATTTGGTCACTAATACATGTAATAAAAATAAATTTTTTAGATGAAGAATTTCCTAACTGGCAACACAGCCGTTCCCCAGATTACCTTAATATTCATTTGTTCATGTGTTTATCTATAATGAACCATGGCAATACTCGTGCATTTTGTGTTTGTTTGTAGGTGGGTACGTGCTTACAGAGATGCCCAATCCTTCAGATTCAGCCATTATTTTGTATGTTTTGTCTCGGAGACCACCATAGCTCTATCTGGAATTAACCCCAGTGAGATCGACTAGTCAGTATTTTTCCAACTCAGTGAGATCGACTAGTGAGTATTTTTCGAACTCAGTGAGATTGACTAGTGAGTATTTGTCCAACTCAGTGAGATTGACTAGTGAGTATTTGTCCAACTCATTAAGATTGACTAGTGAATATTTATCCAACTTAGTGTGATAGACTAGTGAGTATTTGTCAAACCGTGTAAGATCTACTAGTGAGTTCTTTTTATACGGCCGTCTTAAGACGGGACGTGCTTGTGTTATACGCTGCATGTCCGTCCGTCTGTCCGTCTGTCCATTCGTGTCCGGCTCATAACTTCAATACTATTAGGCCTAGGATTATCAAACTTTGTCAACTGATACTTCTTGGGTAGACGGTGTGTCGTGCACAAAAAGTAGGTCGCTCTGACCTTTAATAAAGATGCTATGGCCAAATATGGAAAAAACCTGTCCTGCTCATAACTAGAAAACTATTAGACCTAGAGCTATCAAACTTGGCAAAAGTATACATCTTAGGTAGAAGGTGTGTCGCGACCTATTTCAAGGTCACTGTGACCTTTAATTTTAGTGAAATTTTTTTAAAAACTAAGTTTTTTAAATTTTAAATTTCATAATCCTAAAAATGTAAAAAATAGAGTTGTATCTTTATTAAAAAGTGTTAAATCAAGTAAAAACTTATTTTTTTCATCATATACTTTACAGCAATCTTAAACAAATTTCAATGTAAATGAGAGGAATTCAGTTTGTCCCATGGGCATAATTATCAAGCACTGGTCAAGAAGAATTTTGATAGCAGAAAGTTGCATGTCAAATTAGAGAGAAATTAATGAGTTTAGAGTGAGGAGATAACTAGTAGAGCACTGCTGTTATCTATATCCCTCGGGTATTGGGCAAATGGACATCCATTTAAAAATAGCTCTTGTTGGCTAGCCTAAGTTTTAAAATGAATTTGATGAAAAGTAATTAAAACTTATTTGATATTGCATAATAAACTAATAATCTGATATTATATAATATTAATTAACTAAAAACTAATTTTTTGGGGTGGGGTTGAATCAGCATGCCTACTTGTCCATATGTATTAAATATAAAGTTTGTCTGGCATTACATCTAAAAAGAAATCATGGAGTATTTTATATGTTTTAAAAGTGTTTTAGGATAAAAAGTGCAGATCCATTACTATTAAGGGAGTAATGAATAGACAACATCCAGTCAAAGATTAATTAATGAGTTCAATGTAGGAAGGCTATCAGATCATTAAAAGCGCTGCCTTATCTGTATCCTTTGGGGATTAAAAGAAGAACTGCTGGTCAGTTTATAGCATATATCATTTGATGGCCAGCCTTTCTTTTTTAAAAATTTATTTGGGAAGATTAAGTTGTTAAGAC